TTCTGAGTATAGTCAACTAATTGCTTTAAAAGCAGTGGATTTGCTCACTTTTTCTGAGTATAGTCAACTAATTGCTTTAAAAGCAGTCGATTTACTCACTTTTTCTCAGTATATTCAACTAATTGCTTTAAAAGCAGTGGATTTGCTCACTTTTTTCTCAGTATAGTCAACTAATCACTTTAAAAGCGGTGGATTTGTTCACTTTTTTCTCAGTATAGTCAACTAATCGCTTTAAAAGCAGTGGATTTACTCAATTTTTCTAAGTATAGTCAACTAATTGCTTTAAAAGCAGTGGATTTGTTCACTTTTTACTCAGTATAGTCAACTAATTGCTTTAAAAGCTGTGGATTTGTTCACTTTTTACTCAGTATATTCAACTAATTGCTTTAAAAGCAGTGGATTTACTCACTTTTTCTGAGTATAGTCAACTAATCACTTTAAAAGCAGTGTATTTACTTAATTTTTTCTCAGTATATTCAACTAATCACTTTAAAAGCAGTGGATTTACTTAATTTTTTCTCAGTATATTCAACTAATCACTTTAAAAGCAGTGGATTTACTCACTTTTTCTGAGTATAGTCAACTATTCGCTTTAAAAGCAGTGGATTTACTCACTTTTTTCTCAGTATATTCAACTAATTGCTTTAAAAGCAGTGGATTTACTCACTTTTTCTGAGTATAGTCAACTAATCGCTTTAAAAGCAGTGGATTTACTCACTTTTTTCTCAGTATATTCAACTAATTGCTTTAAAAGCAGTGGATTTACTCACTTTTTCTGAGTATAGTCAACTAATCGCTTTAAAAGCAGTGGATTTACTCACTTTTTTCTCAGTATATTCAACTAATTGCTTTACTTAGAAAAGTCTTGTAAACCCATTGCTTTTAAAGCGATTAGTAAACAATACTCAGAAAAAGTGAGTAAACTGATTGCTTATAAAGCGATTAGTAGACTATACTCAGAAAAGAGTGAGTAAACCTGTTGCTTTTAAAGCCATTAGGTAACTTTACCCAGAACAAATTAAGTAAACCTGTTGCTTTTGAAATGATTAGTTAACTTTATTCAGCGAAGTGAATAAACCTGTTGCTATTAAAGTGATTAGGTGACTATGCTCAGAAAAGAGTGAGTACACCCATTGCTTTTAAAGCGATTAGTTGACTTTACTCAAAAAAAGTAAACCCATTGCTTTTAAAGTGATTTTTTTAAAGCGATTAGTTGACTCAGAAAAAATTAAACCCGTTGCTTTTATAGTGATTAGTTGACTTTACTCATAAAAGTGATGAAACACTATTGCGTTTAAAATGATTAGTTTACTTTACTGAGAAAAAAATAAGTAAACAAATTAGTTTTAGAGAGTAAGTAAACCTGTTGCTTTAAAATGATTAGTTGACTTTATTCAGCGAAGTGAAAAAAACCTTTGCTTTTAAAGCAATTGGTTGACTTTACTCAGAAAAGAGTGAGTAAACCTGTTGCTTTTAAAGCGATTAGTTTACTTTACTCAGGAAAAAGTGAGTAAACTCGTTGCTTTTAAAGTGATTCATTGACTTTAAAAGGTGTGTAAACCTGTTGCTTTTAAAGCGATTAGTTGACTTTACTCAGAAAAGGGAGTAAGCCCATTGCTTTTAGAATGACTATTTTACTTTACTCAGAAAAAAATAAGTAAACAATTTGATTTTATATCGATTAGTTGACTTTATTCCGAAAACATAAGTTATTCTATTGCTTTTAAAGTGATTAGTTGACTACTCAGAAAAGAGAGTAAACTTATTGCTTTTAAAGTGATTTGTTGACTTTAAAAGGTGAGTAAACATGTTACTTTTAAAGCAATTAGTTGACATTACTCAGGAAAAAGTGAGTATACCTGTTGCTTTTAACGTGATTCGTTGACTACCAAAGGTGAGTAAACCTGTTTCTTTTAAAGCGAAAGTGATTAGTTAGCTTTACTTTGAAAAGTAAGTGAACATCCCTTTTTACATCACTTTCACTGAACATTTTGTGTTTAGTCTAAAAACTTTTCCAGAATAAGATTTTTTAGTGGACTGGAAATGTTCTGGAGGTTCTTGAAGAACTATATTTTCTAGGATTATTCAAATGTGCCTAATTTAGGATATAAACAGCCCTTCAAATAACTCTTCACTGAATGTTTCTCTGGGAAACCGAAATGTTTGAATAGCAAAACACAATTGTATAACTTTCATGTGTTAATTGCAAACTCAGATAAAAAGTGATGAGTTTCAGACTAAACTACGCCATAAGTGTTCATGCTTGACCAAAAACATTTTTTCTCATGTAAGATAAGGCTTGAGAAATAGTTATTACGTCCTTTATCAGAATGTGGGAAACAAAACTCTACCGTGAAGATCATGAATTAGGTGAAGAAATTGGAGTTAAACAGAATTTCATGGTAGAAAGTGTAATTCCTCATTAGAAAGCAAAAAAACAAAACAAAAAAAAAAACACGTTACACGAACAGCATCGAGCATTATATTTAGACACAGTGAGTATGATTGCATGCTTCAGCATGAGTCACTAAAAAATGATGTAACTGAATATCTTAAAGGGGCTGAGAAAAAAAATACAGATGACTATAACCCTATAGAGACACAAGTCATTCTAAATTTAGCAGAGTCCACACAACTAGCCACAACCACACAAAGATACATGTAGACACATTTTAGTGCATTTAAATAAAACCGATTCATTGAACGGTTTTATTAATTAAAATAAGAGTTTGGTCATGCATCTTTAGCAATAGAAAAATAATACATTTAAATTTGATGAATTTATTGCAGTAAAAACAACAGACTACACATTTTCAACATTTTTAATTTTTTTAAACTTTCTCTTGATTTTGTTTCTGTTTAAAAAAGTAATTTTTTACTCCAGCATATTATGTTTTTTGCTGGTGTAGTTCCAGTTTTGGCTTTGGTAATGACTAATAATGTACAGTATATGCACAGATATATTATTGTAAAGCATCATATTGAAACTTTATTTTCAAAGAGAGATCTGTGAGGGGTGTACTCGTTTATTTTGAGCACTTTAATTTATATTTACTATTACATTTATATAATCATTTTTCCACTTTTCTATTTATTTATTTATTTTTATTTTTTACTTTTTGAGAGAAATACAATTGCATGCGTGCACATTTCCAACCCTACATTATATTTATTTTCACTTATTTTTAGATGGCACAAATATATAGCAACAAAATGACCAATAAATGAATAAATAACATTTGACAGACTTTGTGTAGTGTCAAATTATAATTTGCACCATTCTCAGATTAATTCAAGGCAGCTCCACATTGGCTACCACATTTACATTTAATTTGACAAATTTTAAATAAATGAATAGGAAATATTAAAAATCCCGACCGTCTTACAATCATTATAATTCCCTCAAAAAGATCAAACTGTTTACTTAAAAACATTGTGGTGTACTTAAAGTGAGGACTTTTAGTTAATGAATTTCCTTTCTGGAAATAAATAAATGTAAAATATAATATAATTTAATAAAATAAAATATTGTAAATGTAAAACATAATAATATCTTAATGATTCTTTCTAACCTTAACCTCTCATATTAGTCTAATATCTTGTGTTTTTCAATCTTGACTGAAGGATGTCATTAAATGACTTTTAGTTAATGAATTAAATCTTTAGAAAATAAATAAATGTAAAATATAAACAGATGACAGTCTTAAAATTCACAATATAATTCACACATTTAGACAGATAGAAAAATACAATAAAATCAATAAAATGTGTTTGTTTGTTTGTTTGTTTGTTTGTTTGTTTGTTTGTTTGTTTTTCACATTACCTCTCATGAAGTTGATCTCTTCATGGCTCTCATTGATTCTCTATCCTTAACCTCTCACATTAGTCTAAAACCTTTTTTTTTTTTTTTTTTGTTGAACCCAAAATTTTCCATCTTAAGGGTGTGATTTAATGATTTTTAGTTAATGAATTAAATTTTTAGAAATAAATAAATGTAAAATATAAACAGCTGACAGTCCTAAAAATCCTTAATTCACACATTTAGATAGATAGAAAAATAGAACAAAATCAAATCATTTACTTAAAGTGATCCAGTGATGTTTGGTTTATAACATTTTTTTGTTTTTGATTGATTTTAAATAACCTCTCATGAAGTAAATCTCTTCATGACTCTCTCAACAATTCTCACTAACCTTAACCTCTCACATCAGTCTAAAACCTTGTAGCCTACTTTTTTGTTAAAGCACAATATTTTCCGTCTTGATTGAAGGTTACATTTTTATTCAATGGTACATTTTTAGAAAATAAATAAATGTTAAATATAAACAGCTGAAATAAAAATCATTAAATAATCCACACATTCAGATAGAAAGAAAAATACAATAAAATCAAATGGTTTTCTTTCTACACTTGAAGTGATCCAATGATGTTTGGTTTATAAAAATGTTTTGTTTTTGATTGATTTTATATAACCCTTCATGAAGTCAATTTCTTCATGGCTTTCAGTGATTCTCTATCCCTAACCTCTCACAATAGTCTAAAACCTTAGATTATTTTTTAACCCAATATTTTTTTGTCTTTAAGGTTGTGATTAAATTATTTTTAGTTAATTAATTACATTTTTAGACGCAAATAAATGTAAAATATGAACAGCTGACAGTCTTAAAAATTTTTGTTCACAAATTTTAGATAGATTAGAAAAATACAATAAAACCAAATGGTTTTCTTTAAAAGAAGTTAAAATAATCCAATGATGTTTGGTTTATAAAACAATTGTTTTTTTTATTTTATATAACCTCTCATGAAGTCAATCTCTTCGTGGCTCTCAGCGATTCTCTAGCCTTAACCTCTCGCAATAGTCTAAAACCGTGTACTTTTTGTGTAAAAATCCCAACATTTTCCATCTGAAGGGTGTGGCTTTTCTCTATGGGCGTCTCTTAAAACCAAAATATATAGACCTCACTCTGAAGTTAGAGAAGTCACTTTTGCGATCCAGAGACACAAGAGCAAATACCGCATTCTAGAACCGACCTGAACTAACAATGCTGACCAGATCAGACAGTCTGATTTTCACATTACCATCAAACAACTTCTTCCAGCCACAACCGCAGTTCGGCTTCGGATCGATGATGCCGCGCAACACACAGCCGGAAATCTTCACTTTCGAGCGGATCCCTGAGCCGCAGCAGCCCGGCGCTTTCCCGCAGCGCGGAGCTCCAGTTCGGCCGCGCAAGAGGAACACAAGGGTCATGTACCCAGCCAAAGTGCGCAAATATCTCCCACCAGCCGAAAAGAGCCCGGTTAAACGCTGGCTGCTCATATTATGCATGGTGGTTTTCATGCAGATCTACACCGAGGAGGGATCCGTGGAGACTCCGCAGACTGAGGCGTCTGCATACAACGTGCTCCCTTTCCAGTCTGCTGAAGAGCAAGCTAAACAAATGATGAGCAACTGCCCTGAGGACTTCATCCAGATGCCATACGAGTCCTCCAGCTCCAGGAACGGGGAGAAAAAGGACAGTTTCTGGCTCCTAAACACTACATGCCCGAGCTCCGTATTGGAGGAGGAGGATTTCACCGCGATCTACCAGCAGCAGCAGAGCCGGAGAAATGGATATGTGGTGGCTCTTCTCTATCCAGTCTATCATAGACTTGGTTCTGAGAACTGAACGAACTCTTAAACAAGTCTGTGGACTTTTTACTCCAAGCCTTTTTGGAAAAACGAGCTCCTGTGGTGCTCAAAACTATAAGACTACGGTGTTTTAGAGCGAAGTGAAGTAAACACAAACTGAGGAGACGTTTGATGGACTTGAATGACGAACAAAAAGCTTACGGAATGATACTTGAAAGGCTTTAGATTTAGCTTACTTGAATATGTTTCGCTTGAAGGGTAGATATTTAGCATAGCCTTGCAAGTAGAGCTGTTTTTTTAGATACAGAAGTCTGAAATCATGAGGACGTCGCGATGATCGTTTGTGTTGCTGAAAGCTGAAATAATACTTGAATCTCATATTGACGACTTCCTGTGTGTTATAAATGAACATATGTATGATGAAGTATTCATTAACTATTTATTATTTAATGCTATTTATTGTTATTATTTACTTATTTATTTTGTTATTGTGAAATAAATTGATATTTGCAACTTCAACTCTACTTTTCCATTGTCTTCTTTTTTCTTCCTCCTTTTCCTGACAAACTAGTTGACAATACAATAGTTTCTCAATGTCAGTTTGAAACATTTAAGCTAAAAATATTTATATAAAACATTGTATATCGCACATTAAAGTAATTATTGCTGCCTTACATTTTTTTAGTTTAATCGAATTAACTTTTTAAAGTAATCTCAACTTTAACTAAAAATATCAAGTTAAGCTTTGTATAACCTACAAAATGTAGTTGAAACCTGATTTACTTTTTAAAATAAGTTAAAGCAACATCAAATATTTGTGATCTTTACATTTTTACCGTGCACTATAAATGCGTGAACATTTTATTCTTCCTTTAAACATTTAATGATTGATTATGTGCACTGTAAAACCCAACAGTCAACATTATCAAATGAAGTGAGTGTAGTTAACTCAAAATTTACTGAAAGATAATTCTGCTAATTTGAAGAATTTTGAACTCAGTGTTGAAGGTAATAAGTTCATTAAATGCCTCATCATCACTTTACCTTAAATGGAGCAAGCTCACAGTATATAAAGTAGATTTTTAATCAAATGGTTTGTTGAAATCGGTTTCCTCAAACGGTTTGAGTTGACTTACTGATTTTTTTACAGTACTCAGTTGGTTTGAGTTCTCTTCATTTATTGGGTTTTACTGAGCTCAAATTGCTTTTTTTACTCAAGTGAATTAAGTTCACAGCACTCATTTGGATTAGTTTTTGAACTTAAATGGTTTGTTGCAATCGGTTTCCTGAAATGATTAGAGTTACCTTAACTTTTGGGGTTTTACAGTGTATTGTATATTACACTATAGCTTGAATATCTTTAAAAAGATTTATGACGTTTTATATTAAACTATAAATACATGAACAATTTATTTCCTTAGTGTTTATTTCCTTAGTGTTAAAGTTTCCTTACACTTTATTTAAACTTGTGATGTAATCACAATAATAATAGAATGGGAATATTTGAGTTTATTAATTCAAGTCCTTTAAATAATCATCATTAAATTAACAGCACTAATCATTAAAACAATTTTTGAGCATTATGATGATGATGAATAGTGTATGGTGCCAACATATACAAACACAATAATCTCACACTATAAAACCCAAAAAGTTAAGGGAAGTTAGGAAGTAAATGAAGCAATTTGAGCACAGTAAACCCAATAAACGAAAATAAATCAAACCAACTGAGTACATTAAAACCCAATAAGTAAAGGCAACTCAACCCTTTGGGGAAGTCGATTGCAACAAACCATTTGAGTTAATAAACTAATCCTAATGAGTACTGTGAGTGTGAACTTACTCTATTTAAGTTGAAGTGATGAGGTATTTAATTAACTCATTACCTTCAACACTGAGTTTAAAACTCTTTTCTAATGAGTAGAATTAAATTTCAGTATAAATTTCAAATTAACTACACTAATTGTTGGGTTTTACATTGCAATAATGTTGTGTTGTTTTTCACTTTGGCCATGATTAAGTTGATATATATTAAATATATTTAAAATATGGCAAGATCTAGATTTACTGGTTACAATTATTGTATAATTTCTATTAATATTAGTCCTTAAACTCAAGTTCAAGTTCATTTAGTTATAGAGCACATTTAAAAGCAGTCACAAGACTGACCAAAGTGCTGTACATAAGACAATGTAAAAAAAAAATAAAAAGACAGAATATAAAAACATAGAAATAAGGCAAGAGAAACGTCTGTAAAAATGTAGCAGTAGAAAGGACTATTACAATAATCTTAAAAAGCCAAGCTAAAAAGGTACGTTTTAAGAAGTGATTTAAAAATAGATAATGATGGAACCATTCTAATCTCAAGGGGAAAAGTGTTCCACAACCGTCGACCCGCCACAGAGAAAGCTCTGTCCCCTCTACGTTTTAGTGCGGACTGAGGAACTAAAAGAAGATTCTGATCACTTGACCTGAGAGATCTCTAAACTGCTGTACAATATACAGTGCTACTTTCAACAATCAATTAAAAGCATAATAATACAGTAATGTGTTGTATCTACATACGTTACAAACACTTTTGCTGATTCTGCTGGTTCCTATAAAATATTGATGTGATTCAAATACTGTACATATCCACTGTATATATACATTTGTAATTATGTTCATATCTATCTGCATAGCCTGATTATAAATAGCAAGCTGTACATAAATTCCTCTTTTGTTAGTCTCTGTTCATCCTTAATACAACCTGTATATAATGTTCACCGTACATCCATCAGTAAATATCACCATGTTTCTATAACTGCACTTTATAGCTTATACCTGTATCCTGCACTTGCTGATATTGCACTACTGGTTAGACTTAAACTGCATTTCATCTAATCTAAGCTACTGTAAAATATTGACTTTATTGTATAAACCCTAAGATACTCATAATAAGATAAACAGTAATGGATCATAGACACTTGTATGATAATCATGAATATTATAATGCATAAGGAAACCTGATGTATACAAGTTAGAGTTATAAAACGCTAAAGCATATTACATTATAACATGCACTGCAAAATGTTTTATCATGCTGGTAAACTTGTAGCATATGTTCTTTAAAACAGATATATAAAATAATGGGTCAAAATTTGTATTTTAAGACTAATTCAGTCTTTTAGAGGGAATATTTCAGGAAAAACACCTCATTAAAGTAACAGATGGATTACTTAAAGTGTATAATTAACTAAATCCCATCTTGTTTAATAAGCTTGTGCTTCATCCCGCTCCATTTTTGGCCATGTTAAAATGTATTTTTTGTTAATTGTATTTTATGGATGATATTTTTGTTTGACAATAAATAAATCAAATTGAAATAAAAAAAAATGTAATCCCAGTGACACATTGTATAAATGACAGAATGAATACATTTTAAAGAGGAAATACAGTGTTTGGTCAGTCGAATGCAACATATCTTTATTTGGAGAGTACAATTAGGGAGGAAATTTACTAGATCATCAACAGTCATGTAAAATGAGGTCAAGAGGAAAAGGTCTTTATAACTTATTATTAACTACATCTAAATGACACATGTTATGAATGACTTTTAAATGGAAATACAGTGTTTTGTCAGCCGGATGTGTCATATCCTCATTTGGAGATTTAAATTGGGGAAGAAATAAATGAGGAAATTGAGAAGTCATGTAAAATGAGGTCAGCGGATTAGAGAAAAGAGGGCCATTACTGCTTTTAAACACTGCATTAGGAGTAAGAATAAATGTGAGCTAATAATATGTGGGGGACGCACGGTAGCTCACTGTTGCATCACAGAATTAAGGTCGCTGGTTTGAGTCCTGGCTGAGCCAGTTGGCATTTCTGTGTGGAGTTTGCATGTTCTCCCGGTGTTTGTGTGGGATTCCTCCGGGTGCTCCCCCACAGTTCAAACACATGCGCTATAGGTGAATGGGATGAACTTAATTGGCCATAGCGTGAGTGTATGTGTGTGAGAGTGTGTATGGGTGTTTTCCAGTACTGGGTTGTGGCTGGAAGGGCATGAGCTGTGTAAAACATATGCTGGAATAGTTAGCGGGTCATTCTGCTGTGGTGACCCCTGATAATCAAGGATTAAGCCGAAGGAAAATGAATGAATAATATGTGGTGAAGTGTATAAAAAAGAAATAAATGTGGAATGTTTTGTCATGTGATGGACTCGTATGAGCTCTGCAATCCAGGATATAGTATTTGCATAAATGATACAGGGCAAAAACAATACTTATAAAAAAATATATATATCATAATTATTATTAAAATACTTTGAACACTTTAAAATCTTTCCTCTGGATTTTACAACTTTAAGTTTCTCCTGAAGTTCTTTGCATTCTTTAAATTCTAAGAATAGTATGTTAAAGGTATGACTATGTGTACATTACTGATTACTTCCTAGTGAGGGTGGGGTGGATGCCATAAAATCTGAATTTTTTTAGTTCCTCAAACAACCTTTTAGTGACCAGTTCAGGGTGGGGAACTGTTTTTATGAGTTGAATAATATCCTGCGGCCATGGTACAGCAGCTAGTAGATTATTACACCTGAAAGGACATATATAATGTATATGAATTGATTCTCCACATGCCCGATTAGTATCACTTACAGACAGACACATGCACACATAGGGCTCAACCTGTGTAGTGCACATGCCCTTTTTAGTCTTGGATAGAATGTGCCCTTCCAAAATGATCAAAAGTGCCCCCGCGACGCAGCACACCCTCGGTCCCGTTCTTCAGTAGGCGCGCGACAACACCGCTCGAGTATGCGCGCGACAACACAGCTGGTCAGAACGTGCGCGACAACACAGCTGATCAGAACGCGCGCGACAACACAGCTCTTCAGTACGCGCTCAACCCCCCCATCCCCCCACCCCCGCTCTCCAAAAATTTTATCCTGCACATGCCCTTTGGACGGTCTCTGCACGGGCCTGCTTACAGACCACATGAGAAAGCTAGGTTGCTGTCGGAAGTGGTGCTAGTAAGACCAGCAGGAGGCGCCCAACCTGTGGTCTGTGTGAGTTCTAATGCCCCAGTATAGTGAAGGGGGCTCTATATTGATCAGTGAGCGCCGTCTTTCAGATGAGACGGTTAACTGAGGTCCTGATTCTCTGTGGTTGTTAAAAATCCTAGGATTTCCTTCGTGAAAAAGGAGGGGTTCAACCCCGGCATCCTGGCCAAATCTGCCCACTGGCCTCTGTCCATCAGGCCTCCTAACCATCTGGTGTGTGGTGTGCGGTCTGGATGCCAATATGGCTGCCGTTGAGTCATCCAGGTGGATGCTGCACAATGGTGGTGGATGAGGAGATTCCCCCAATGTGTATTGGGGATTATGGGACCATGATGTTTCTTCTAATAACCTTTAACCGTGAAAAGTTCAAAAACAGTGACTTTTATTATATTTTTAATAGTTTAAAGTGATATATAGTCTGGGTTGGTGTTGTATATTACTCTACAAAAACCTTGTATTAAACTGCCTGCACATTATTATTTC